AGGCAGACGCTAAATGACTGAGCCACCCAGGTGCCCGTCTTATTTTTCAGTTTTATATATTGTATATTTGTATATTTTGGTTTCCAGTTCTTTATCATGTATGTATTTTGCATATATTTTCTCCCCATCTGTGACCTGTCTTTTCATTCTCTTAACAGTTTCTGTTGTTAATAAAGACCAAACATCTTTAATATTGATAAAGTCCAACTCATTAATTTTTTCTTTCACAGATCATGTTTTGGGGGTTATAATTAGAAACTTATTGCCAAATGCAAGGTCACCTTGAGTTTTCTTCTGTATTACTTTCTAATTGTTTTATAGTTTTTGTGAAAGATGTAAGGTCTGTGTCTAGATTCATTTTTTTGCATGTGGCTGCTTTTTCTAGTACCATTTGTTGAAAGGCTGTCTTTCTCCATTAAATTGCCTTTGCTACTTTGTCAAGGGTTAACTAACTGCATTTGTGTGAGTCTATTTCTGGGTTCTTTATTTTGTTTGATTGGTCTATATGTCTGTTAATTTGCTAATACTACACTGTATTGATTAATGTGGCTTTTTAGTAAGTCTTGACATCAGGTAGTGTCAGTTCTCTGACTTTGTTTTTCACTACTGTGTTAGCTATTCTAGGTCTTTTGCCTCTCTGTAAACTTTGGAATCAATTTGCAATATCCACAAAATAACTTGCTGAGATTTTTATTGGGATTACATTGAATCTATCAATCAGGCTGGGGAAGAATTAACATCTTAACAATGTTAAGTATTCCTGGGCTTGAAGATGGACTGTCTCTGTTTAGAGCTTCTTTGATTTCTTTTATCAAAGTTTTCTAGTTTTGTATAGATCCTGTACACATTTTGTTTTTTGTTTTTTGTTTTTTGTTTTTTACATTTTGTTAGATTTATACCTAAGTGAATCTTTTTTTTTTCTTTTGGTACTAATATAAATGGTACTCTGTTTTTCATTTTATTTTTATTTTTTAAAGATTTTATTTATTTATTTGACAGAGAGAGACACAGCGAGAGAGGGAACACAAGCAGGGGGAGTGGGAGAGGGAGAAGCAGGCTTCCTGCCGAGCAGAGAGCCCGACGTGGGGCTTGATCCCAGGACCCCGAGATCATGGCCTGAGCCAAAGGCAGATACCCAACTGACTGAGCCACCCAGGTGCCCCTCCAGGAGGCTTTTTAAAATTTCTTTTCGATTTTTCTACCTAGACAGTCATGAACTCTGTGAACAAACAGTTTTGTTTCTTCCTTCCCAGTCTGCATACTTTTATATCCTTTTCCTTTTGTTAGCTAGGAGTTAACAGTACAATGTTGAATAGGAGTGGTGAGAGGAAAGGAGACATCCTTGCATTCTTCCTGATTTTAAGGGGAAAGAATCTAGTTTCTCAATAGTATGAATGATACTAGCTATAGGTTTTCTGTAATTTTTTTTTACTGAGTTAGGGAAGATCCCCTTTAATCCTAGTTTGCTGAGAGTTTTTATCATGAATGCATGATGAAGTTTGTCAGATGCTTTCTCTGTATCTACTGTTATGATCATGATTTTTCTTAGTCTCTTAATGTGATCAATTGCATTAATTGATATTCACATGCTAAATCCCACTTGGTCATGGTGTATAATTACTATACATTGTTGGATTCAGTTTGTTAATATGTTGAGGATTTTTACATGTATGTTCATGAAGGATATCAACCTGTAGTTTTCCTTTCTTGTAATGTCTATATCTGGTTTTGGTATTAGGGTAATGTTGGCCTCAAATAAGTTAGAAAATATTCCCTCTGCTTCTGTTTTCTAGAAGATATTATAGAGAATTTCATATCATTTCTTATTTAAGTGCTTGGGAGAATTCATCAGTGAAAACATCTGGGCCTGGTACTCTCTTTTTGGAAGGTTCTTAATTATTGATTAAATAATTATTGATTCAATAATTCAATAAAAATGTGGGGCTTGAACTCATGACCCTGAGATCAAGAGTCAGCCACCTAACCGACTGAGCCACTCAGGCGCCCCGATTCAATTTCTTTAAAAAAAAAAAAAAGGCCCACTCAGATTTTCTGTTTCTTCTTTGTGAGTTTTGGTAGTGTCATTCAAGGAATTGTTCCACTTCATGTAAGTTATCAAATTTGTGGGCCTATTGTTCATAATATTCTTTTATTATTATCCTTTAAATGGCCATAGGACCGATAGTGATGAACTTTTTTTCATTTCTAATATTAATAATTCATGTCTTCTCTTTTTTTTTCTTTGGCTGGATGTTTATAAATTTCATTGATCTTTTCAAAGAACGAACTTTTTGGTTTCATTGATTATTGATTTCTTATTTTCAATTTCAGTGACTTCTGCTCTGATTGTTAGTATTTCTTTCCTTTTGCTTGTTCCAGGTCTATATTTTTCTTTCTGTATTTTCCTAAGGTAAAAACATAGATTATTAATTTTAGATCTTTCTTCTTGTCAATATATTGAATTCAATACCATAATTTCCTTCTAAGCACTGCTTTCACTGCATCCCACCAAAAAAAAAAAATTTTTTTTTTTTTGTTTTCTTAAGTAAGCTCTACACCCAACCTGGGGCTCAAACTCACGACCCTGAGATCAAGAGTCACATGCTCTACCAAGTCAGCCAGGCACCCTGCATCCCACAAAATTTTGATAAATTGTGTTCCATTTCCATTTAGTTCAAAATATTTTTAAATTTCTCAAGACTTCTTTGATCTAGGTGTTGCACAAAATTATATTAATATATAAATATATTGGGATTTCCCAGCTGTCTTTCTATTATTGATTTCTAGTTTAATTCCACTGTGGTCTGAGACCATACTTTGTATGATTTCTATTCTTTTCAACTTGTTAAGGTATGTTTTTGGACCAGAATGTGGTTTGTCTTGCCGAATATTCCGTGTAAGTTTGAGAAGAATGTGTGTTCTTGCTGTTATTGAATGAAGTATTTTATAAATGTCTTTTAGATTCAGTTAATTGATGGTGCTGCTCAAGTGAACTGTATCTACTTTTTTTTACAGCAGCTGCACCATTTTGCATTCCTATCAGTAACATACAAGGGTTCCAGTGTTTCCACATCCTAGCAACACTTGTTATTTTCTTTTCTGTTTTTTTTTTCTTTTCGATAATAACCATCCTAATGTGTGTGAAGTGGTATCTCATTGTGGTTTTGATTTGCATTTCTTAGTGATGTGGAGCATCTTTTCTTGTGCCTATTACTCATTTGTGTATCTTCCTCAGAGACATTGTATATTTAGAGTCTCATACAGTACTAGCATGTATTAGGTGCACATTAAATATTTGTTGAATGAATGAATAAACCTTTTTGGAGGGCAGTTTGTCAGTATCTGCAAAAATGTTAAATATATATATATGTATACCTCTGACCCCTGAATTCTACTTGTAGAAATTTATCCTGAAGCTATAGTTATATAACCAAACAAAAATAAATGTCAAGGATATTATTTATAGCATTGTTTGAAACAATGAAAACCTGGGGGCACCTCGGTGGCTCAGTTCTTAAGCGTCTGCCTTCGGTTCAGGTCATGATCCCAGGGTCCTGGGATCAAGCCCCGCATTGGGCTCCCTGCTCAGCGGGAAGCCTGCTTCTCCCTCTCCCACTCCCTCTGCTTGTGTTCCCTCTCTTGCTCTGTCAAATAAATAAAATCTTAAAAAAAAACAATGAAAACCTGGAACAGGCTAAAAAATATCCATGTATGACTGGTTAGATAAAATGGCATTTAAAAACAGACTAACTGCTTTTGTTACAAATAAGAGCAATTTGTATATTAAGATTCAGAACATACTATATTATTGAGTGAAAATGACAGTTTGCAAAATAGAATGCAAGTTTGGTTTTAAGATGTTTTCCATGTGTTTTATAAGAAAAAAGGTATGTAGGGCACCTGGGTGGCTCAGTTGGTTGAGTGACTGCCTTCGGCTCAGGTCATGATCCTGGAGTCCCGGGATCGAGTCCCGCATCGGGCTCCCTGCTCGGCGGGGAGTCTGCTTCTCCCTCTGACCCTCTTCCCTCTCGTGCTCTCTGTCTCTCGTTCTCTCTCTCTCAAATAAATAAATAAAATCTTTAAAAAAAAAAAAAGAAAAAAGGTATGTACACTGAACTCTTTATGGTAGTTATAATGGCAAAGAGTGGGAAAGTTACAGGGGCCTTTTATTCTGTACACTGTAAAGACTTTTTAAATTAAAAGTTGGAAAATAAGATTGAAAGTTATAAGTATACTATGAATATAATTGCATTAAAATAATATAAATGAGGGCGCCTGGGTGGCTCAGTTGGTTAAGCAACTGCCTTCAGCTCAGGTCATGATCCTGGAGTCCCGGTATCGAGTTCCGCGTCGGGCTCCCTGCTCAGCAGGGAGTCTGCTTCTCCCTCTGACCCAACCCCCTCTCATGCGCTCTCTCTCTTTCTCTCTCTCATTGTCTCTCTCAAATAAATAAATAAAATCTTTTTAAAAATTAAAAAAAAATAATAAATGAGAAAATTACTGGAATAAAGTGCAATAAAATGCTAACAAGGGATTATGTATATTTTTCTTTCTGGTTTTTCAGTTATTATGGTTATACTGTTTCTATGTTGACAAAAATATACTTATCTAAAGAATAAAACAACTGGAAAAATTATCACTAAATGTGTAAGCTAATCTTCAAGGCAGTATTGTTTTATTGTTATAATTTTTATAAATTTTTTTTTAAAGATTTTATTTATTTGACAGAACACAAGCAGGGGGAGCTGCAGGCAGAGTGAGAGGGAGAAGCAGTCTCCCTGCTGAGCAGGGAGCCCAATGTGGGGCTCGATCCCAGCACCCTGGGATCATGACCTGAGCCAAAGGCAGACCCTTAACCAACTGAGCCACCCAGTCACCCCGTTATAATTTTTGGTGTCCTGTAATAGGATGGTGTATTTCAAGGGGGGAAATATAATAGCTTAATTTTCAATAAAGTTTGACCTTTTTTCTAACTAGAGGTGTTTGCATTTGTTCTATAGCGGAAGTGAAACGCGTAGGAGATACACTTTTGGGTATGGCCACACAGTGTGTCCAAGTCAAGAATGTAATAAAAACATCCCCTCAAACTCTCTCAAACCTGTGCCTAAAGATAAATGTTAAACTCGGAGGGATCAATAATATTCTTGTACCTCATCAAAGGTAAGATAAGCTAATCAATTAAATTTTAATTATTTTTCATATCCTAATTTTTCTGCATATTGCCATATCTAAGATCAGTGTAAGAGACAATCTTATTGATTTTTGCTATGGAAGATAAGTAAACATTTTAGAAAAGAATTTCAGGCACGATTAAGAGATTCCCTTGTGAAAATCCCCTCCCATTTCCATTTTTTAGTATATGCAGAGAACCTCCTGCCCAGCTAGAAAATATTGAGAGCTTTATTTATTTCTCGCTGGAGAGCTCAGATTAACGAAGTTTCTCATTAGCTGATAAGTCATCTTCAACCTGGAGTTGTGAGACTACTCACTCACCTAGCAAGTAAGGAAATAAGGGAGGGTCTTGGGTGGGGCATATGAATTAAGTAAATCAGTTAAATAAGCCATATCAATCCCTGCTACAGTCATTGGGATGATAGGTTTTACTGTTAGGTCTCCTTCATGTCTAAGAGCTCTTAGGAAGTGTGACATAACAACCTAGAAACAGGTCCTGGAGAAGAGGTGATTATTTGGAGAATTGGACAACAGGTTTCCTTTTAGTAGTTGGAGCAACTAGAGCTTTAAAAAGTAAAATATCTTGACCAGTGTGCACCACAAATAAGCATTAGACTAAGGATAGACCCATGTGTATTTGACACAAAAGCCCTTTTTTTTTGTTTTTCCTCTACTTCCTGTTCCTGTTAAATAATTGAGATTCATAAATGAGATGCATACAGAATTTTATCAACAAGTCCACAAACTGAGAGACAGTCATTTGAATCTTAAAGGATATAGTTTTTTAAATAAGATGAACAACTAGCTACTTTAAATAATACGTTCTCAAATTTATACTTTTGGCCTGGGGAGAGGGAGTGGCAGATTCCCATAATCCTTTCCAGTGTAAAGTTTAATGATTCTTTTTCTCATTGAGAGATTACATAGTTTAAATGTAAGTAGATTACAGAAAGGTCGGTACAAAGTGGTGGATTAATATGAGGATGTTTATCATTTTATGTCTGTTACGAAGAATGCTGGCTCTTTGCAACCACCAGCACCACTGCTTAAGGCAGAAAATTTGCTCTGAAGAAGACATTGGATAGACCCATTGTGATAGCTTTTACTTCACTGAGTTAGGAATTCATGAATCAAGAGACTAAAGCAGTAGTTCAGGCCTTTGCGGCTGTTCTGTGCTGTGTCAGCAGCTTGCAGTTGTGTTGCAGTAGTATAAACAGATAAATGCATAATGAAAAAATGAATTATCTAACTCTTTTAAAAAATGTGTTTAAGACCTTCTGTGTTCCAGCAACCAGTGATCTTTTTGGGAGCAGACGTCACTCATCCACCAGCTGGTGATGGGAAGAAGCCTTCGATTGCTGCTGTAAGTGTCATTAGGCAGGTTTATCTTGTCTAAAGTTTAGATGATCAACATTGTAGTTTCAGCTTTTTGAATTTTAATGACACTCTCTTTGAAACCAATTTTTATAAATACATATATCGAATCAACTTTCAAATATTCTTTGGATTTTTTTTAAAGAATGATCATTCTCTGGTTTGGGGGCTACAAGTTACATATATATTTATTAAATGAAGCTTATTAATTGTATTACTCAAGTCTTTTTTCCTAATTTATCTATTTGGCCTATGATAATATATTTTCAGTTAGCTTTTGTTCCAAGAGTTTATGTATTTCAGTAGTGTCTTTGTTACAGAAGATGCATTACATAAAAGCTTGGTAGATTGCTTTTTTTTTTCAGTGTAAAATATCTTCTACCTTTGTCCAATCTAATACTTTTCTGAATTCTTTGTTTTTTTTATTTATTTTTTTTAAAGATTTATTTATTTATTTTGAGAGAGTGAGAATGAGAGAGAGAGAGAGAGTACATGAGAGCGGGGAGGGTTAGAGGGAGAAGCAGGCCCCTCGCAGAGCAGGGAGCCCGATCCCAGGACTCCAGGATCATGACCTGAGCCGAAGGCAGTTGCTTAACCAACTGAGCCACCCAGGCACCCAGAATTCTTTGTTTTAATACTGCCACTCCGGGCGCCTGGGTGGCTCAGTCGGTTAAGCGTCTGCCTTCAGCTCAGGAGGGAGTCTGCTCCTTCTCCCTTTATCCCCGCTTGTGCTCGTGCTCTCTCTGTCTCTCTCAAAAAAAAAAAACAAAAACAAACAAACAAAAAAACTTAATACTGCCACTCCTCCTTTTAACATTTGCCTTTTATATCTTTGCCCACCTCTGTGTTTGGTAGTTTCTGTGTCAGTTCTTTTAAGTGTATTTCTTTTCTTTTTTTTTAAGATTTTATTCATTTATTTATTTTAGAGAGAGAGAGCACATGAGCAGGGGGAGGAGCGGGGGTGGGGGGAGGAAGAGGGAAGGGAAAAGAATCTCAAGCAGACTCCACGCTGAGCGCCGAGCCCATCAAGGGGCTCAGTCTCATGACCTGGAGATTGTGACCTGAGCTGAAACCAAGAGAGTCAGCCACTTACTGGACTGAGCCACCCAGGGGGCCCCTAAGTGTATCTTTTATAAACTTCAGAAAGCCAGATAATTTTTTACCCAACTTGAAATTGCTTGCTTTTTTAAAAATGCCAACATTTTATAAATGTCAACATATTTTAGGCATACTTGATAAATTTCGGAAATTAAACTGTAAGACTTGTTATGTATTTTTTTCTATCACCCATTATAATTTTTACATAAATTTCAAGTTTTAACAATCTGCTACATTTTTTTTATCCATGAAAATGATGTTAAAGTAATGTTAAAATTTTCACCTGACATTCCAAAACTATCTTCATTGGTGGAAGAAATTTGCTTTTATCTGTTAATAAATTATATTGCTTAGGGCACCTGGGTGGCTCGGTTGGTTAAGCATCCAACTCTTGGTTTCTGCTCAGATCATGATCTCATGGATCCTGAGACAGAGCCCTGTGTAGGTCTCCACACTCAGTGGGGAGTCTGCTTGGAGATTCTCTCCCTCTGCCCCTCCCCCGACTCATGCACATGCCCACTCAAGCTCTCTTTCTCTCTAAAATAAATAAATCTTTGCGGTGCCTGGATGGCTCAGTGAGTTAAGCATTTGCCTTTAGCTCGGGTCGTGATCCCAGAGTCTTAGGATTGAGCCCTGTGTCAAGCTCCCTGCTTGGCAGGATATCTGCTTCTCCCTTTCCCTCTCCCCCTATTTGTGCTCTCTTTCTCTCTCTATATATATCAAATAAGTAAAATCTTTTTAAAAATAAAATAAAATCTTTTAAAAAATAAATTCTGTTGCTTTTTATTCTTACAGTTATGCATGAATTGTCATTTCAGATGTTCTAGAGGTAGTATGAAGCCACTTCTGATATTCATAAAAATGTTCTTATAGTAAATGGAATTATTTTTTCAAAGAAGAAATTCAAAAGACTTACTTGGATTTGCTATTTTGGGATCTATTTTCCAAGAAAGCTTAAGCATAGTTGGATTGTTGGACTTCTGGGTAGTCATTGTCCTTTTCTACTAAATCTATTTCTAACAAATACCCACTTTCTTTTATTATTAAGTAGAATGTATTAATTGATTCTTTTTGCTATATGGCTTTATTCCCAAGAACTTAAAGACCATTGTGAAAAATCTAAGTAATAAATGCCACATAGTATAATAGATATTTAATGGCAATATAAATTAAAATTTAGATTGCAAAAACCTGGTGTGTTTTAAGAATGTTGAGAAATATAGGGAATTGGAGTGTAATATAACAGATTGTGAGGCCTAGTAAGCTTTTGTGTGGCTGTTTGTGTCATCAGGAGGGGTATAGATTTATTTTTTTAGTAGTGAGATACCATTCAGAGGAAAGAAATGACTAGAGTTCCTTTTTTTAACCTATAGAAGATAAAGAAAAAGCAGATACAATCCCATGTATGTAGTAGACGAGTTCTAGTTCATTTTTTAAAAAACTCTTGATTATTTTCTAGTCTGACCTAACACAGAAGAGAAACAAGAATTTTCCATATTTTTGTTTCAAGTAATAAGTCATTAAAGCACTGACAGGAAGTTAAGTACTCTTTTGAAGTACTATTTTTATTTAATTTTAATTGAGGTATAACTGACATATATTAGTTTTAGGTGTGCAGCATAATGATTCAATATATGTATATATTTTTAAAAGATCACCATAATAAATCTGATTAACATCTGTCACCATACATAATTACAAAATATTTTTCCTTGTGATGAGAACTTTGAAGATGTACTCTCAGCAACTTTCAGATATTCAATACAGTATTATTAATTATAGTCCTCATACTGCATACTGTATAGTACCTCTCAGTGACATAATTTATTTTTTAACTGGAAGTTTGTACCTTTTGACCCCCTGCCCCATTTCATCTATCACCCACTCCCTGCCTCTGGCAACTACCAGTTCATTCACTGTATCTATGAGCTTGGTTGTTTTTGTTCTGTTGTATTTTGTTTTGTTTTATTCCACATATAAGTGAGGTCATATGGTATTTCTCTTTCTCTGTCTGACTTTTTTCACTTAGCATAATTCCCTCAAGGTCCATCCATGTATGCACAAATGGCAAGATTTCATTCTTTTTAATGGCTGAATAATATTCCACTGTGTATGTGTGCCACTTTTTTTTTAATCCATTCATCCATTGATGGACAGGTAGGTTGTTTTCACATTTTGGCTACTGTAAATAATGCTACAGTGAACATGGGGGTGCAGACTTCCATTTTTGAAGCACTGGTATAAATACTACTCTGGAAGAAAGAAGCTGGAGGCAGAGTGTCCACCTGGTTCTCAGCCTTGGCTCTGATCAAAATGTAGACATTTTAAAAATATTCGTGTTCCGGAGATCATTCTTCAGTAGGTCTGTGAGTAACTATAGTCAAGGTGAATTTTTAAGTTCATGCTTCAAAGTTTCCTTTACTCCAAACACATAATAATATTAAACAGTATACACACAGAGAAAATTAAGATAGTTACTCTCAAAACCAAGATTAACTTCTTTAAGGACTGGATGCAGAACACAAACACAATACAATAAGAGGGACTATGGATTCAAGCCTCTGGTCTAGGACATTGCAGTAAGAGAGGAAAAATTCTTTTTAAAATTTATGAAGCTTAACAGTTCTAAGATGATGTTTCAGAGTCTTAAGTGTGGCTTCTGGGGTGGTTTGCTAAAGTATAAAAGATAAAAAGAGAAACCCAGGGTTTGAATGGGTCCTCTTACCTCCTTTCTCTTATTCTTCTTATGAATGTCTTTCTGTCTCTTTTCTTACTAATCTTTAAATATACCAACAACATCTATAAATTAGAATCTTATTAAATGTACAGAGGTGCCTGGCTGGCTCAGCCAGTAGAGCATGTGACTCTTGATCTCAGGGCCATGAGTTTGGGCCCCACTTTGGCCATAGAGTTTAAAAATAAAAACAGATTTTTTAAAAAACGTAAAGCACAGCCTACTTATAGGAAAATAGTTCATTGGGGTTTTTTTAAGATTTTATTTTTAAATAATCTCTATACCTAATGTGGGTTTTGAACTCATGACCTCGAGATCAAGAGTCACACACTCCACCAACTGAGTCAGCCAGGCGCCCCAGAAAATAGTTTTTAACTCTATACTGAGTCTTTTATTCTGTTCTCCCCTGGGAATTGTTGATTTTTTTTTATTACTCTCAAGATGAACTAAAAATGAACTTTTTTATTACTCTCAAAATAAATAAGGTAATAAAATACAAATTTAAATGAAATCCGTGTCCTTTTTATCCATTTTTTTTATTGTGGTAAAATTCATATTGATGTAGTTTTGATTGTCTTAATTTCTATTTTCCTTTACTTTTTCCAACCTAGGTTGTAGGTAGTATGGATGCCCACCCAAGCAGATACTGTGCCACAGTAAGAGTTCAGAGACCCCGACAGGAGATCATCCAGGACTTGGCCTCCATGGTTCGAGAACTTCTCATTCAGTTTTATAAATCAACTCGGTTCAAACCTACTCGTATCATCTTTTATCGGGATGGTGTTTCAGAAGGACAGTTCAGGCAGGTTGGTTGCCTGGGATCTCATTATACTATGGTTAAATCAGATACTGTGTTTATAATATGGTGTCTAGTTCTGAGGTTAGAAGTCTTAATTAGGTTGAGAATTCCCAAAGTCAAAATTTGATACTTCTTAGATTATCTCTTCTAAGATGTTTACTATGGATTTGTAAGCCTTGGTTGCTAAAATCATGTTCTGGTCATAGTTAAAATGGAATAGAGAAGTATATTTAGCTGTAAAGTGATAAGATTAAGAAGTCCTAAAACTAAATCATGGTCTTACTTTGAAGTATGTATAAGAGAACAGCTGACTATGTCAAGTCTTTCCATTTCATCTCCTCTAGGTATTATATTATGAACTACTAGCAATTCGAGAAGCCTGCATCAGTTTGGAGAAAGACTATCAACCTGGAATAACCTACATTGTAGTTCAGAAGAGACATCACACTCGATTATTTTGTGCTGACAGGACAGAAAGGGTAATCTTACATCTGTTGTAATACTATTATAAAACAAGCTTACCTCATATAGTTCATAGAGCACTAAACAAAGGCTGTCTGCCAACAGCACGGGTTCCAGTGTATAGTAGCAGATCCCAGCATACCACATTACAAGTAGAGAAGCATCAAAATAGGTTGTTAACTTTTTAACTTCCTAGAATTTCTGTTAATACTCCAAGTGTTCGAAATCCTGTTAATGCTTTTTGTTATTGTGAAGAAACTCATAGTTTTAAAATTGTTCTTTCTATTTCTGTATGTCTTAAATGTTCAGAGGGGAAAAGGTGCATTTATTTTTAAAAATATCTTGTAAAAATTATTATTTTTAAAATAAAACTTTTAAAAAAGTTTTTTTAGAAGCTAGGAACTTTCTAGAATGATTAATAGAAATTCATGCAAAGCAACTTTTAAATAGTGCTTCCTTTAAAATTCACAGAATTTTTTTTAAGATTTTATTTATTTTTAAGTAATCTCTACACCCAATGTGGGGCTCAAACTCACTACACTGAAATCAGGAGTTGTATGCTCTGCTGACTGAGCCAGCCAGGTACCGCCCCACAGAATTATTTTTTATATTTTGTAGTATGACTATGTATTTTTATAATTAGAGAAGGAGGGATAAATACCTAGGGAAATCTGTCTTCTTGTTTACATGCAGCATAGGCGAGTAGCAGTCTTGGCCCCCATCTTTCAAATCTTGGAGCAGAGAAATCTGAGGATTGCAAGTGTTGGTGTCTCCTTGGAGAAAAGGGGTCAACAGAAAAGACAGAAAGGAGTGTATCTCTGCTTTGGTATATATTTAGCCTTTCGTTACACTTTCCGTGTAACTTTGGGCAAGTAACTTAACATCTCTGTGTCTGTTTCCTTCCCAAAAAGGTTTGGGTGATATTAATATTTTCCTTTATTGGGTTGTTAAGAGAATTAAGTAAATTAAATTATGTAATGTATCCAAAATGGTGCTTGGCACATACTAAGCACTCAATAAACGTTGGCTAGTAGTTGTAGAGTGGTGGTGATGGTGGTCATAATAGAGGAAAAGAAAAATAATGGAGGAAAAGAAATCATAATAGCAGACATTGTTTTAGGTATGTGTCATAAATTTAACTCATTTAATCTTCACAACACCGTAAGGTGTTTGCTATTATTATCGTCATTTTCCACAGGAAGAAACTGGGGCATATGAGGTTAAAGAACAAGGTTATAAAGCTAGTAATTGGTAGAGCTAGGACTCGGATCAAGCAGCCTGGCTCCAGAGTACTCATTATCACTGTCCTATAGCACCTCTCTAATAGCGGTAGTGAGAGTTCCTTATTATGGCCTCCCAGTTGTTAAAGGCGTTTGACCCCGAATTACTGGGTACATTTTTGTACCTAGAAAACCAAATGTTTCTTCAACAATAGGATTAGGAAAACCTAAGTTAGATTTAATGATTACTAGCATCTGATGTTTAGTCATGCTAGTCCTTCATTCGTCTACTTCTCTTTCACCTTTGTTCTAAATACTACTACTACTAATAGATGAGAGATAATTATAAATAAGGAATCAGAGGCACAGAGAGGTAAGGTACCATGTCCTAAATAGCACAACTAGAAACTGGTGGAGCTGTGAAATGAACCTATTCTGCTACTTCTCTAACTAGAGTAAAACTTTTTATATGTGTTAATTTGATTTATGCATTAAGAATAAGCATAATTTAGGGGCGCCTGGGTGGCTCAGTCAGTTAAGCGGCTGCCTTCGGCTCAGGTCATGATCCCAGAGTCCTGTGATCGAGCCCCACGTCTGGCTCCCTGCTTGGCGGAGAGCCTGCTTCTCCCTCTCCCTCTGCCTGCCACTCTGCCTGCTTGTGCTGTCTCTCTGTCTGTCGAATAAATAAATAAAATCTTAAAAAAAAAAAGAATAAGCATAATTTAATTGATTACGAACAGTTTTTGTTTTATACTTGGTGAAGGCTAACTGATATACACAGCTATAACTCAAGCCACTGCCTGATAGTAGTCCCTCACATGCAGAAAGAATATCTGAGTAGTAAAATGGTTTTTAATTTGTTAGCCTTATAAATCTAGACTTAGAATTACTGATTTTAAATGTGTTTAGGGATAAAGAGGTAGAGGTGAGTGTACATAGGAATTTTAAAGTGTTTTATTAGAAGCCTTTCATTATCAGAAATTTTGAACCATTTCATTCATATTCATATAGCTATGCATGGTGCAGATTTCCTTACAGCATGTTGAACTGCTAGTATGAAATAAGAGGAATAGGGCCTTTGCAGTCAGTTCTGTATTTGACTCCCAGTTCTGCCTTTTATTGTGTGCTGTTCAGCAAAGTATTTCATACTCCTGAGCCCAAGCTTCCTGAACATGTGGTAATAATACCTAATTAACAGGAATTTATTGATTGGAAATATGTATGTTATGTGCCTGGCCCATATATGGTTAACAAATGGTGACTACAGTTGATGTTATTGTCAGCATTCTTTCTCTCTAAAAATACAGTGTTCGCCAAGGAAAATGCTAGTTTTCATAAATTACACATTCAAGAGTACCTGCTGTTCCCAGGTACCATAAATTGGAGTAGTTAAGTGATTTTTTTAAAAAATTTCTTAAGTGTTCCACCCATATTGGGATCACCTACTAGCTGAGCACCAGTAGACACTAGTAACTCTTCAGTTTATCAGCTGTCACTTTCAGCAATATGTAAGAATAGGAACCAGGACTAGAATAAGCTCTGCTATTAATGGCTGCTCAAGTAATATTTGAAGCTGAAAGTAGTGAAACACGGGATCAGCATATATATATTTATATTTTTTTTTAAAGTGCTTTCAGATACATTCTTTACCTTTGTCCTGTTTGTTTAAACTTTGACCAAACAAATCTAGGTTGGAAGAAGTGGCAATATCCCAGCTGGAACAACAGTTGATACAGATATTACACACCCATATGAGTTTGATTTTTACCTCTGTAGCCATGCTGGAATACAGGTAAGCCTGCCCTGTGGGTGAAATGTTCTAATTCAGGAACTTCCATTCTTATGTATATTTTTTTAAATCTCAGAAAAAGAAAAAAACACTGTTTCTGCACTCCAAATTGTTTCCACATTTCACTGAGGTGAAACTCTCAAATAAATTTCTTCCCCTTCTTTACCTTGAGTTAGGGGCTTATTTCTATGAAAATACCAGAATATAAGTAGCCTAATAGAATGAATCTCCCTAAACTGAGTCCACAGTTTAACCTAAAACTTCAAAAAATTTAATATACCTGATTCTTCCTTTGACATTTGCTTCTTTTTGATAATAATACTTCACAAAGTTTTGGCATTTACTGACAGATATTGAGCATGTAAAAGAGTTTAATTGTAGATTTACAGCTTTAAGTTTCAGTTAAATAATTTTTTTAAATTTTTTATTGTTATGTTAATCCCCATACATTACATCATTAGTTTTTGATGTAGTGTTCCATGATTCA